GGTGGGCTAGATGCTGACTGCTGTTCCCTATTAGGTCGTTTAAGAGGAGACGGACCGAGGGCTTGGTGCGGATATGGCATTTGTACTTGTGACAGTTGCAGACAATAGAGGCGATATTATCGTCGCCGTTTGATAATTCGGCAAATTGGAACGGAGCTGTGAAAATGCAAATAGGGCTGATGGATCCGGGAAGGAAAATGGACTGAAGTATGGGAATGATGCTGGGAGAGCTGTTGTTGGCCTTGCCAACAGAGAAAGGGCTGTATTTAAATCCACTGGCACGGGCTGCTTTTCATTACTGAAAATTTTTTGAAAATATGAAATTATTCGACGAAAGCAAAATTTGGTTTATCAAAAAAAAAAAAGGCAGCTGATATGCAATAGAGCTAAGCATGCAGTTTGGCCTAGTTAATTTGTAACCCATCAGACAAAGTCATGTTATACCAGCTAATTTTTCGCCACTATTAAGATTCGGCTCCACTATAGCATTTCTTATTTAGAATTTGATTTCACGAATTACTTTTCCAAAATGAATAACTATGTTTTGCATTCCAAAAAAAGGAAAATTAAATTGGATATACTTTTGTATAAGTTGTGGACTGTGAACGGCGCTTAAAGCATTTCTTAAGTGAACAGAGGCTGAGCTGTCCATTCCTGATCGTTACTCACAACAGTTGTGCCAAGTTAAGTTCAAGAGACTGGTAAAATTCGAGAATGGGAATGGACTAAAGCTGCCGTCGATGAACAAGAAGAGATTCGGACAACAACTGCAACTGCTGCGGTCACTATAATTCGAAAACAGTAACAGAATAGGACAGAAAAGCGCATAGCAAAACTGGAGCTCGAGTCAGAACTCGACCCCGCCCCGAGTTGACCTTTCGAAAGGACCCGCCTCTGTGCAACAGCCTATATATCCCTTATGTCATTTGTTGAGGGAGAAGGATAATGCTCTCGAATTGATTTCTGTTGTCTCTTTTTCTTTGGTCATGAAAGGGCAACCTGTTACCCAACTCATGCGCAGAAAGGTCGAGAGGAGGGGTGCGAGGTCGATCACTGTGCAAATTGCATAACCTTTATTGAGTGACGAAAAAAGATAAGGTCTTGCCTGAGAAATAGTCAAACCACTGAGCATAAAATATCATACATTATTGGGATTGTCGAGTGTTATCGCCAATGCGCATCATCTTTTTGCTGCCAAATTATCACTGAGGTCATTAGTGGTATTTGAAAAACCATCTGTCCAATGAGTAGTCTAACCTCTGTTTTGAAAATCAAGACGGGACTGGAAATGAAGACCAGATGAAGGAAGTTTTCTTCAACGATAAAACTTAATCGGCAGTTGACCAACTGGAAAAGATCTATTCGTTTGAGATTGTTTCACCTAAGTAGTTTTATTTGGAGTGAAAATGAATTTCGAATTAAATAAATACTTCTACAAAAGGTTGATGATATAATGAAGGCACTGAAAAGTTGAATAATTACTGCGTCACAGATGACAAGTTTTTTTTCGCCGCTTTACGCGCTTTTCGATATCAAACTTCTTCATCACAGTACAACAGGTAGTGTACATGTTTATATCATAGCTAAAATTCCCATTTGGTAATTAACTCATTCAGTTATTTAACAAAAATCTCAATTTTATGTATCAAAAACTGGAAGCTGAAGAGCGACAAATAATTCATACATTTAAACACTTCAGAAGATGGCTTTCTGCGCTTGTGCGGGAAATATCCTGTGATTTTATGCATACATACAATCATATCTGTTTTACAGCTGATCACAAATCTTCTTGAATTATAGAAAATTTTTGGTTTTATGCAAAAAAACTAAAAAGATGTTCTTTTACAAATGTTTGAAACTTTTCTTGGTCTTTTTAAAATACGAAATATGTGTTGTGACATAGGTTGTATAATCAGCCACTCATGATTTTATCTTAGTCTAATAATGAAATAATGTTTTGAATTACTGAATGCGACATCCATATGGAAGTATAATTTGTTGTACTAACTTTCATTTTCACTGTCCCCATTCCCCAACCGGAGTTAAGATCAGACAAATAAGATTGCATCGCGATTAGCTAATTAAAGAAGAAATTTTGAAAAAAAAAAAAGAACAAAAGATTTCCTTGTATGTCATTGTATTGTCCTCACCACAAACGATATCCCTAAGGAATAGAGGTCATCGTTCTCTGGTTGCAGTACTGGAATGAAAGAAATGAGTGGAGGATGGATGAGGACATGGCTTTTGCTGATGGTTTTGACCTTTGCCTGAAGAGGTCACGGTGATGCCGCTAAAGAGGCTTAAGAACTATCGAGCTGCATAATAATGATGATTCCAGAACATTGTGATGCTCTCTCTGCTAGTATCAGCAATGTAATGTCGCTTACCGCATCTTTTATGCAAAGTGCTATTTAGCAAGGCGGCTTTGTTCTTACCGCCACATTCATTATTGCACTTTATTTATCTAATGACAGATGTCGCAGGGGACAGCGTGAAATTTCGCTAATTTTTTTCACTAATATGTTTGTTGGTGAGGAGCTATTGCCTTATTCTATGAAGAGGGCATTTTTTTTTAATAGCATTGTTTAAAGATGGGTGGGAATACACAAACTAGAAGACTGACTTCTGCAGTTAGTTTAGCACATATATACACGCATACACATATATACACATGCACATATGTAAACACATGCACACATACACACATGCGCACATACACACACATACACACATACACATACATATACATACACGTAAACATACACACACACGTGTATTAAAGCATGCAGCTTTTCTAGTGTTTACATAAAAGGACAGAAGAGTCAATAGATAGAATTCTGTTTACACAATTTGTTTATTAATACTGAGCCAGGTCACAACTTCGTTTTTCCTCAGTAACATCCCGTGACCCTTTAAGAGACTCTAGTTTGCATCGGCTGGATGTCGTGTCGCTTAAGGGATTCAAAGATGATTAGGCATTACTGTTCTAAGGTTCAAAGGTCATACATTTTAGTGGGTTTTCAATACAGCTCCTGGAGCAGTTAATGCTTACTGTTCTCATGTTATTTGAAGCTATTTCCACAAATGATGCAAGGTGACCTCACTTCCATGCACAGTCTCATTCATCATAATAACAACAAATGACTGTTCCTGCAATAACTATGACTCACCGTTCCACTGACCTTGCAGTCCAGAGGTCATCTCTTACACCCTTTTTTGCTTCTTTATAAAATATACTTCTCATCTCGTGAATTTATTCATCTGCTACGTGACGTGGACTGAATGTTATTCATTTGAATGAAACATTTCTGAATACGCCGATCGTCATTTTCTCAATCTTGCTATCTAAGGGTCCTTCCTTCACACTAATCAACCATTTTAGCGCATAAATTATAATGATGGGCGGATAATTCACAGGATGTCAACAGTCTCAAGTGTTAAGTGCAGCGGTTGAAGCTTTGATTCTTGCCTGCGACGACGTTTGGCCTTCGATATTTCTTTTTTATTCTTGCTGAATTGAATACCGCAAATTCATTCCTAATGGCATACTACTGTTGGCATAATTAAATTGACCTATGTATGGGTAGACGGTAATAACCTATAACAACTTTGTCAATGTTTCGGACTGCATTCACTGCTCAAAACCTGTCCCTTCCCGAGAACCTCATTATTAGATCTCATGCTGAGCACTATCAGAATGTGACAGTTTGTCCAGTTTGCATGACTTTGTGTGTACAGTCTCTGGTCTCCCAATTTCTTAACGGTAGCACTATTGAGTGGAAGTGGAAATGCCAAAACAATTAATACAAAAGAATGCAAAAAATTTGCGAAAATCAAACTGAGGGAAACAGAAATAAAACTTAAAAATGACAAATCTTTCATCAAACCTTTCATTTAAAGAATTCAACTTTCTTGATTAAAATTTTTCTAATAATAATAGTATAATGATAATAATAACAATAGTAATAATAATAATAATAATAATAATAATAATAATAATAATAATAATA